CGCCAATTTTATATTTTTTGCAATTTTTACATTCAGTCTCTCAATTCAGCACATGCTGCAATAGACTGTTTTGTATGAGAGTTTTTTTTTTCAATAAATATACCCAAATACAACAGCCAAATTAAAATATAGGTAACTTCTTCCAATTAAGTACCCTTCCATCTGAATGGAGTTTGTAATAAAAGAAATGTAATTCAGAGGACACTTTCACTGTTTTCCGAAACAGAATAATACTGTACAGAAGTGAAAATTGTCTGCACATATAGGTTGATTTCCCGCCGATTTATAATCAGGCGGTACTGGGGATGGACTACGTGATTTCCTGCTCGAAACCAGACATCCATTCATAGAAGCCATTATGAAGAAAGCCTACCTAAAGTGGCCTGGGTTGGCACGAGACCAGCTAACTCTGGCTTTGAATATAGGAAGATTGAATTGTGTTAAATAGTGTATACAATGCACACGATATTTACAAAAATTTCATGCTAGGTTCTCCTAGGCCCTATTTAGCTAAATACAATCAATATTTCTTGCATTAAAGGACATTACTGTATATATCAATATATTTTATTCAATTTTATATTTGTTTGATTTCTTGTCTGATTTAACATAATTTACAACATTGTTTAGGATATCTGAATGTAATTGTCATTACCCATAAAGAAAATATATCCACAAAATGCATTCATAAAACAGAAATTTCATTTTTACGACAGGAGGTTTGTCATTGAGGAGTATTACTGAAATGGAATTATTATATTTAAGATGAAATTAGAGAATAGCATCATATGGTTTTTATCAAAAGTTGCATTATAAAGCTTAATATATGGCAAATATTTGTAATTTGTTCACATACAGTCATGAAGACATCATATACCAAATATGGTCAAATCACAGGTTATTTGTCACACACAACTGTGCACATTCTGATATCCAGTCACAATCAAAAGCAACACTTGCGTCATTTACCTGAACTATTCTTCTTATTGTAGGTATTATATATTTCTTCATCACTGCTCCTAAATGCAAGCAAAAGAAAAGCACATTGATATTATTCAGTGTTAGGCCTAAAGGATTGTTGTACTGCCAAGCACAGTTCTGTTAATTGTGGTTTTTACTAAATATTTACCATTGCCTCTCCAAAAGAGAGGTGAAGGCTACTGCAATAGCACGCGTCTGTGTGCGTGTGTGTCTGTCTGTGCGCGTGTGTGTGTCTGTCCGTGCGTGCCTTTCTAGCGGCATAACATTATTTTCACACACTGACAATGTTACATGTATCTCGGTCCTCCCCAAATATGGTGCGGATCAGATGTAAGATGCAGATTTTAGAATGTTATTTGTATTTTCCAGCCGCAACAGACAGAGCCAAACCAAGTGGATGGTTCAATGGAGTCATTTAGCTACAGTAGGCCAAGCCGACTCGGATAGACTGTGGGCTGAATCGAGCAGATCAACTGTGTGTCAAATTCTGGCTGGTGGACTGGACGCAATCCGGACAGCTTGCAAACTCGCCCAACTGATGGGCTTGTTTGGCGGATGGAGCAGATCGGCAGCGGGGCCATTATTTGTTCAGTACATATATATGGCCCAACAAGGCGAAGGTTTATAATCTCAGATTATCTTGTTGGAAATTGTGTTCATAGCCATATTATAACTTTACCTTGAGTCTTCTTCGGTTTCTTCGCTTCATGTCCTAAACTATTTACTCTCTGTTCATGTGCCAGATCTGCTCTTATACTCATGTCTCCTATATGTAGAACCATTGGCAATCTAGAAAAAATAATTAACACATTAAGTATGCAGCTAGGATTAGCATATTTGTTGTAGTCTGGGCTTCCAACTTTAAAACGGTATCTTTTCAAATCCTTTGCAGTCCATTTCATGTGTGTTTGTATAAGGTACTTATGTTTTCTCTCTATCTCTCTCTCACTCTACCCTGCCCAGGAGTAATAATTGGTGTTAATTGAATACAAGTACAACGATTATTAGATGTAACACCATGTGTAGTCCCTCAGGATGCCAAGTTGGTATTCCGTTAAAATTTCCTCTAATGACTGGGATAATTTGAATCATATACAACACCAAAAATGATATATACAATCATTGATATTACTATTATCATTATCTTCATCATTAAAATTATTATTATTATTTTGGTATTAATACTTAAAATTTATTATTTTTTATTATTTACATTATTTTTATCATTATTTTTATTATTAATACTTCCATTTTCAAAATACATCAATTTATGTCCTCATTTTGGCCAAGGGAATTATGTACTATACAACATCAAACAATTATGATCCAAATTTGAGTTCATTTATTATTTCTTATTTTATTATATATTTTTATTATTATTATCGTAATTTATTATTTGTAATATTTTTACTATATGAATTATTTATCATTATCATTTAAATTCATCGTCATCACCATCATTATTAATAATATCATGTTATATATGATACAATTATTATAATTATCATATACATTATTCAATTAAGTTCCAATTCTGGGTAAAGTCATGATATTAAATTAGATATAACCTTCATATAGTATACAGTAGCCTATGAATTTATTTATCACTGATAGGTCATAGGCCTTTTAGCCTTGTACTGCAGTTTGAAGTACAGTATTAGTCTAAATTATTTTACCAATATGATCGGCATCAACACAGGATAAAAAGAAACTTACTCTTGTTGTGAGTTGAAAAATCTCCATGATACCCAGATGTTATCAAATGCCTACAAAAAATAAACAACATTCTCAAAAAACAAAAGCATAAGACTTACAAGATACATAAACTTACATTGACTTTACATTTCGATGATTTTTATTTATACCGTTTTTATTACCTTTTTGGCCTATAATAGATGTTAAGTGAAAGTAGTCTAATAAGAACATTTTTTCTTTATTGTTCATAGCTTATTATCCATGGAAGTGTTTTGTTTTATCTCTTTGCTTTAAATTTTGTATTATTTTTGTATTGTCTACAAACAAATAAACTCAAACATTTCTGAAATGAAAATTTTTGTCGAATTACTGTATTTACAGTGGTATAAATATAACCCCACCCCCTCCCCTCAACCCATTCCTCGACTTTCAAATTATTTTCATGCACAAATTTTGGATGTGCCCCATCTATCTATGAGATTTGGAATGCAATTTCTACAATGTCTACAGTATACTTTAGATAATGATTCAAAATATATATATAGTCAAAATATTTATATATTATAGAAACATTTATTTATTATAGAAACATTTATGTATTATAGAAACATTTACTTATTATAGATTAGAAACTGTTATTTCTGTAAGGATTGCATGACTAATATCAAAATTTGATTGAATTACCAAACACTATAATTCCAAATAGCCACATGGTTCAGTCTATAATGAGAAAACACAGATTGGCAAATACTCATTTACATAGCAAAAAAAGCCTATGAATAAATCATATCATGGTCTTTAATGTTTCAAAAGTGATGAATTAAAAAAAAATCTGTATTAAATATTAATACTAAAGCCAAAAAAATTGTGTTGCCCAAGCAGAGACTCCCCAAGTCATGGAAGTCTCCCAGAAAACAGGATGGCCTCCGACAAACAAGCATAATCTCCCCCACCCCCCCCAAAAAAAAAAACACATCTCCCACAAATTCATATTTGTATGTTTTTTACTAATTTATTATCAACACTTTGACCGCCAAAGAAGATCTCCATCTTTTAAATCCCAACTATTGTCCGCCATAAAACGGAGATCTCCGTTTTTTCCATCTTATTTTTTTACATGAAAAAGGGAGTACGTCTGGATTTCCTCAAATCGGTCTGGACCACATACTGTATGTTTCGCTATTTGAATGTGACTTATTCTAAGTGACCTCATATTGCAAGGCGATACTGAAACGCGATTATCTCAGCTTCATTGTGTGAATATGCGTAAAATCCCATAAGTGAGTCACTTTCATTTTACTGTTACGGGATCATAAATTTGATTTGAATAAATGTTTGGTACCAGTGTTTTTATGTCAATCTGATCACGTACAAACTCTTTGCGAGATTTGGAAAAATGGTCAAATCTCCTCAAAAAAGCTGCCGGTGCCTAACGCTATTTTTCAAACACAGCTGGCGGAGAAAGTGTTATTTGTCTTATAGAAGTCAGTGCTGATGGGTAATCACCTTGCGCAGCACAATGATATTAAATACGTTATTTTAAGCCTTGCACTCACTACGTCATACAACGAATCCAACTCGGCTCCCTACGAGCACTAAACGACGCGACGCTGTCTCTCGATAACAGTCTGAACAGATCATCACACTAATTTGGATGATGTTAGCATGATTTTTCGAAAGACAAACTGATGAAGATGAAGACCATCATTAAAAACGATCCGCTGCACACGCATCGTCACGTTGCGTTCTTTATAGAATCGCAACGGGCGTCGACCATCCGGGCGTATTGAGTGCCCAGCTTTGGAAACCATATTCAACCAGTTCTCCCGGAAATGTCATTCTTGTTCCAACTTGTGACCCCTTTATTTGTAAATCAGGGTCGGTTGGTTGACAACTTGTTTTTTTGCAATTCCTACTACAGGCCTAGGAGAACTTCTAGCGTTCAGCGCCAACCACTCCTCTTCCAATGTGTTTTGGTTGATAGTATGGTAAGCACAAGGCTAAAATTTACAATCAGTTTTACAATTTATTACTTGAAAAGTAGCATTTTGAAACATGATACAAGTATTTTGGGCTTCTTCCTGGTAAAGCGAGACATTTTTATACCCTGTTTCAGGCACTCACATTTTTAAAGATCGTCAGAGGAGGGCGGAAAAATAAATAAAAATTTGGTTTTCTTATTTAGCAAGTATTTTGCCAAAAACATTCATATGGTGGAGGGAATAAAAATAACATTTTATTGGTGAATGTAAACAGTGTAGTAATGGGATGGTTCTTCTTAATGTGTTCTGTCTTTTGACATTACGCTTTCCACAATTTATTTCCATTTGTTTCTGTTCAAGTCAGGATGATTTGTTATAGTGTTTGTAATTACAAGTCCTTCCAGGTCTTTTTTAATTTGGCTCATCCAGTTATTTTTTAGTCTTCCTACTGGTTGTTTTACTTTCCGTTTTAGCTCCAGCATTGTTTTTTTTTACTGGAGTTTCGTCCGATAATCTAATTATGTGTCCGTACCATTTTAATATTCTGCATTTAATTCTTGTGCTCCATTCTTAAGAGGGTTAAAGGTTTTGAAGGGTTTAAATTTATATTATATTAGTCTGCCTTGGGCAACAGAACATTTTTTTTTTTGGCCCAAATACTCCTTTGTTTTTTTTTTGGCCAAATACTCATTTTGATAGAAGTTATAAAACAGAAGTTATCACTGGTCTCCTGGACTCAGACAAATCTTAATTTCCATCGGAAACTACCCCACTTTTCAATATTAGGGATTAGAATATCTGAGTTGTAATGAATGTTATCCTTTTTTAAAGGTGCATCCAAAAAAAAAGTAACACAATTTAAATAATTTACAAGGTGAAGTTTGGGAATTAATTTTTACGAGAGAATAAATATGCAATCTTACCACACTGCCTGTATCCAGATTTATGGAGACATTTCTTAGTGAGAAGAAACCAACATAATCTACAGCAATGTTTTTCTTCAGGATCAGGCTCAACAGTTTGGATAAGAGTACAGCTAAACATCTAAAAAAATGTAGAAACGAAACAATTTATGTAATGATTTATAATGGCCTAGTTCTATGACATCAATGATAAAATTTAGTTATTAATCGACGTGAAATACAGTAAAACCTGTAATTGAAAACTACCTGTGCTCTAATACCAACCTAAATTTAAATTTAATTTATCACTGACCCACTAACCCAATTTTTGCGGATTTGAGCCAAGACCATTTGGACAGTGTCTGAGTCAAAGAATTGCCAATTCACGGCCTAGGGTCCCTGGAGGGAATGGGAAAGATTTAGGATTATTTAGACCACAATATTTGGATATGCAATTTTATCAGATTATATTTTGTAAGTCCAATAGCTGTGGATGCCGGAAACCTACATTGTGTGCTATGATTTTCAACATGCTCATTTCGAATGTTGTTGGCTGCAATATTTCTCATGCAACCTAACTTTAGGAGCAAAAAATTTTTGCAGACATGTAAAAAAAATAGTATAATACATACTCCCAGTATCGAAATGCACGCCATCATGTCGTGATTCAGTATTTCGACATTAATTATGTCATCATCGGGAATCAGGAATGTCATTATTTCTGATGATGACATAATTAATGTTGACATATTGAATCTCGACACAATGGCGTGCATTTCGATACTTGGAGTATGTATTATACTATCTTATCTGAGATTAATCAATGGACCTTTCGGTAAAAAAAGAATTGGCAAAATTTTAGCCCTCCAATCTGTCGGTGCATTTCAAAAAAGGGGAAAATTCCCATGCAAATTTTTCCTTTGGCCAATACTGTATATCACGATGTACAATTATTAGCAGCCAATTTTCTATACATTTTCCACGCAAACTTGAGTTAGTCTGATATACAGTAGCCTCCACACAAATAAAATAGCTGTACTTTAACAATTAGGAAACGCTGGAAAATTTAGAAGTTAGAAGTTAGAAGGGTTCATGGACACAACTCCCGAAAGAGGGGCAATCCTGCCAATAGAGGGAAAACTGGAATCTAAAGTAAATGCAAATATGAAATATCATATTAGCATAGGAGACATGCCTAACCACAATCATAACATTACAGTCACAAAACAATTTGATAATAATAAAAATATTTTATTTCATTATTAATGTGAAAATGGCCTAACCTATGTTTTGTTACAAGACCTGATTCAACATTTTATATTAAACCTAGCCTAATCCTAAACAGGGTCTTAAATGGGCTAGGAGGCTATGTCTACGAAAAGCTAAACTGGCCTAAGCTAGGCCTAGGGTCCCGGCTGCGCTTCCCGGCTAGGCCTAGGTGTCCGAGTCCTAATGTAAATGGTTCATACCTTGAAATAAATAATAAACAAATTACAAACAGGACGATATAGAAAATTATAAGTATGTATCCCATTTTGTTCCAAATACACGATTCATCAAATATCAGAAAGAAGAATAACCATGGCCGAAACCCATCTTTAGCTCATCATCTTCCTTTTCGCTTCGCCGAGGCCGATCGGTCGTAAAAATGAAGTGTTTTGATTGTGATAAGACCAAATCTCGAGATGGCGCTGTTTATTTAGAGAGATAGAATAAAAAAAAATTGCTGATTTACTACAAAATCATCCTCAATTTTCTAGCCAATATAAGTAATCATGCACATAATATTGGTCTGTTAAAAGCAATTTTATAGGGATGTCCAAGTGCCAAATAATCAGATTGGCCCGTAACATTTTGCAATTATCGGTATCATTCATTTTTAGAAGTTCAATATTTTATAATTCGGAAAGGACGGCTGAATGCAGTAGGCTTTATACTAATTCTTATTACATTTTTTTTTAAACATCATTTTGTCGGCTTGAGTTTCTTCTCAGGGAAACAGTAAATAAATATTTATTATACCCTACTTTTCCTAGTCAGTGTAATTTATTGGGGGTGGTGGTGGTGTGTACGCACTCACTCACTCACTCACTCACTCACTCAGTGACAGACGGGCATGCTAACGTATCTTTTCACAACATTCTTTGTCTGGTTAGTCAACTTTCCATCTGATTTGTCAACAATTTTAAAATGTATACATATAATAATTTATTTGGAATGACACTTTTGTAACTGGCACCAACCACGTGGGCGGTGCATCCAAGAGGTAACAAAATAAATGAAATGAAAACTTGAAAAAAGTAATAACGGAATGGGCAATAAATGAATTCCTGTGACAACTCCGACAAAAGTGATGAGTGACTAAATTGAACTCTCAGTGCCCCAAAAGACAGCTTCAGGCGATTTCTCCTGAAGGAAGCCGAAGCACGGCATCCATGATCCTGTCTCTTATACACATCTAGATGTGTATAAGAGACAGGCATGTGTATAAGAGACAGGTAGTAGGGAAACATTTTATGACTTGGATGGCCCAAAAAACTATGATTTTAGACCATTGACAACCACAATAACTTGTTCAACGGGTAAATTAGTATATTTAGACCGAAACGTTGGTGTTTAGGCCTATTAGTTAATTTCTATCATGTTATATTTTCAATGTTGTGTTTGCTTTACCATTGTATTTTGGCTAACAACTTACTCATTGTTTTCTTGCCGATCATGACTGGTATTTTTGCATCATTTTTGACATCCCTTTTCTATGTTTCTAGTTCGATGATTTATCCCCCTCCCGCCCCC